ACTTAAAAAAACCAATTCATTATTCAAACAAAACAAAGGCGATTTCGTTAACATTCGGGCGTGCGGTAGCTAGTCACTATGGTCACATTATCTGCGCAGTGTCACCAACCTCGTGACGTCACACACAGCTGATACCTGCAAATATGGGTCGTTGTATCAACTTCGCCACACCAGTGACCTCTGACGTAACGATGCGAAAATTCGCGCCTTTGTTAACGAAACTTTGAGTTGATAAACCTTTATTCATTTATTTCTTCTTACAAGAATAAACTGTTCGCGAAATAAATGAATTTTGTATGTAGGTAATTTGTCATTGGTTTAATAAAGGTAAGTTTTTATTTGAGTTTTGGTTTGATAATTTTTTGGTGTTGCTAAGGCTTCTGTATAATGGTTTTGTTATAGAAACATGTAAGTAGGTATGTTGTTTTAATATTCGTTTTAAGTCAATTAACGGCTAAATTCAGGTTGTTCCTAGTGACTTCCTGATTGAGCAGTCAAAACCAACTTGCAAGAAGTCGATCGTTGCATTCTTTAAAAAAAAACATTGTTGTAGATCAAGGTTGTATTCCAAGAATTTAAAGGAGCTATTTACCAGTTCAACGAGTTCAACCGCTTAAAAACTGCCTTAGACCTTATACATATGTACATAATATATTATTATAAAAAATATTTTTCCTCAAAAGTATCTACTAACTGCAAGTGCGTGTGTGTGTGTATCTAGAGTGTTCAAGTTTCATGAATTTGTGTCAGGTACTAGGAAAGTTGTGTTATGTAGTGTTACCATGAATCACCTGTTAACACGTGGGACAGTATTTTTAAACAAACAATAATGTTTAACTTCTTCACCGTCCGCCATCTTGCATGTCTGTCAGTCTGTCACATGTCTTTTGTTTTCTAGATTTGTTTGTCAAGATATAATTAGATGGGCACGTGGTATGATATCACCTTCTCAATAGGATAAACAGATTTCTCATCGACTCCGAAGGTGATGGAAAATAATTAAGTAATCGATTTTTATTGTTTAAATTTCTTTAAACATTTACTGTAGGTATAAAAAGGTAAAAAGGTAAGCTATGTTCTTTTCACAAACGAAGTACTCACCTCACCACTATTGCACTCATAAAATACAGTAGATACTCCCATATTTTAGAAAAAAAGGAGGTACCTACCAGGGCTATAACGTGCCGCAACCGCGAGAATTGGCGTAATTTTTAGTCAGGAAAAGAACCGACGGTATAATATCCTCTCGCCTACGCCAAGAAAAGCAATTCAAAGACCACCTTAAAAAAAAAAAGAAAAATGGTGTACGCCAAAAACAAGCGTAGTTCTTTAAATACTTTACTATATTTATTTATTTTTTGGTTTAGAGAAACACTCAGGTCTAAAACAATTGAAAACACTTACTACACTCGTTTTAGTCATAAACAATGTTATCGGTTGCGTACGCGCACGTTGATGTATCACTTTGTGTGCGATGCGTGTTTGTTTTGCCAATAAACATGAATCGAGAGCTTTTTGCGCAGTACAAAGATGCAGGTTTTTCATTGTCTTGGTTAAGTTTTTGTTAGTCTGTCTTGTTACTAAGTAAAATTTTATTATTTTGTTTAACGGCAGATTAGAATTACCTGTGTTCCTTTGTAGTACCTTGATACCTTTTTAAGGCTAAGCATTGGCCATGTTGGGCCCCATCTGTGGTGGTCTATTGGCTACCCAGTGTCGCTGGACTATTTTCACGGGTGTCATAAAGAGACCAACACACTTGTCACAATGTCACACTTCCCACTGTCTGTCCCTATGTCTACTTAGATGTTTAAAACTACGTAACAGATTTTGATGTGCTTTTTTTGAAAATAGACGGTAAGGTAAACCTTAATAAATTTACACATAAACCGTCATAAGACTAAGCCGTAGACAGGAACCTAGTCCTTAAATAATAAATAGAGAATTGGCTGTGATGTAGAGATTTTGGTAAATCATAATTTTGTGTTCCGGCAGTGGAATATCACTGGTGATGTAAGTATTTGAATACATTTATGGACATATACATACAGATTGACTATCTATATAGAGAATATATGCAAATTCAAGGACGTATCTGTATTGTTCAAAGTTAATGTCATTGTCACAAAAAATATGATATTTATTAATATTTATTTTTATTTTTAATATCGCTTATTTAATAAATGTTAATGAATAAAAAATATGCTTATGAATAATTCTATTTACATGCATTTTGAAAAAAGTTAATACCTAAATTGATTTGTTCATGTCTAATGTTTTTTTTTCACATTCGTAAAACACGATTGAACATAAAAGTGATTCTATAATATGCTTACATTCTTATGAATAGGTAAGTTGATTTTGATGAATCGTTATCACAGACACAATGAGACACAATTAAGGAAGAGATTATTTAATAACAAACGGAGTGACGATATACAATTGATATTTTATATATATTAAAAATGGCATTTTGAAGAATACTCAATCCCCTATCCCTAAATCCTTAATAACTTGAGTTACTCGACGCGTGTCCATGGGCGACGCTGATTGCTTACCATCAGGTAATCCGACTGCTCGTTTAACGACTCATAAAAAAAAAGAAATAAAAACAAATAATTCTTGCAATTGCACACTTTAGATAGGCACATAAGCTATATTTGAATTGAGATTAATTACGAAGTTAAATAATGTATCATTTTACTCAAGTGACAATGCAATTAAGGATCAAGACATGATGGTTCTAAATTAATATTACTTCATGGAAGAATTTTCCAACTGGTATAAAAATAACCAAGATGGAATTTAGCTTTAAGGCAATTTACGAAGATTCGATATAAATGGGGACAATAAAAAAAATGCGAAACTTACTTTCTATGATAACTATGTAGCTTTTGCCTTAGCTTGCAGTTCCTAAGCTATAGTATTTTTAGTCTATAGATTATAGAATAAAAATACTAAAAATAATAATATATCTTTGGCATATTTCATTAAGGTGCGTTCCATTCTATTTATAGTCGGAAAATAATTATTAATCTAAACCAAAGTGGTGTTTGATTTAGTATGAGATAATTTTATTGATATTGTAAAAAAAATTTTAACGAAGTAAATCAGTGGCCTGCATTAGCAAAGAATGAACTGTCAAGAAAAGATATTATAAAAATGTTATTGTCCTTATCCGTCGAAGGATTATTTCTAGCATGTTGGCACGCTGTTTTTTTTAACTCAACTGCCGTGTAAAATGGATTTAATTATTTTAATAGTCCAAATTAGTTCGTAACAACTAAAGATTAGGTTTAATTGTGCAATTTATAAATACTTGTGAATACTACATGTGACAGCTGCGTTAATAGATAAGATTATAGTAGATTGTCGATTATCTGATAAATTTTAGAAGGTCGGTCAAAGGTATGAAAGTTTAACTATCAGAACTATCTTTTCGATTTATTATCAACCTGTACGTTCATTTTATCATCTAGTTAGGTAGTCTTGGAACACTGTATAGATAAATATAATAATTATTTTGGGGTTTTTTGATAAAAGTTCTATTTATACAGCGGAGTATGTACTTAGCTATGTGTTCTTTGAAAAATGCCTTCTTTTGTTAAAGATATTGGTAATAGTAATGTCAACAATTGCTTATTATTATTTGTTTCTATTTGTTATTATTTTTAATTTATGTAGCCAATCGCTAATCTAAAACTTATAAAAAAATGTGACCTTTTATTTACCTATGTTTCGTCAAAGTTTCATTATCAGTTTATTATAGTGTATTACACTTATTACGTTTTAAACAGAAAAATAAAGTTAAGTTAAAAATAAATACTCGTAAATCAGAACATTTACTTTTAAAATGTTTTAATAACCACAGGGTGACCATGAAAGCAGAAACAGAAAGCTGTAAGTACCTGGTGCACCCTAAAATCATAAAAGGCGCGGAAAAACACCAAAAGCCAACCTTAATTAATGGCTTTGTGAAAAATATTGAAGGCAAATTCTTTCCTCAAGTATATTTATGCACGTAACCAGTGAACTAAATATACAATGTTTATTTAAAACTTGATAAATATAACATTGATATACCTAAAGGCTATTGCTCACTGAAAAAGCACCTGCTTATTTTAACTGATAAAACATTTTTTTTTTATTCACTATCAATCATAATATTTATAAAAAAAGAACTATTTACGATCATTTCCTTTCGTTGATATTAAGTATAGGTGTAAAGATACTACAACTTAAGTAGTATCCGCAATGACATGTAGATCACAAAAAGCCTTGAATTTTAATGGCAGGATGTTGTTAAGTAAGTAACCACTAATTTCTTACTAACAAACGCTCTTCAAGTGCATCGGAACGTTGTAGTGTTAATCTCTGACGTCATTAGGGGTTATCAGGGTTGAAACGAACCGCGGAAACTGAGCGAGCTACCATGTTACTTATAGGTCAAACTATCAAGAAAATAGGTGGCTGTCCAGGAAGGTAGATTGATTGTTCTATTTCGGGGAATTGTTTACGTAATTATGGCTAGAGTAATTGGGTGCTTGTGACTTACTTGATCGTTGTTTACCATCAGGTGAGAGGGGAACAAACCGCTTCTATAGTTACTTAAAAGGAAACATAAAACTTGCTGATAAAAGGTGAAAGCTTCTAGGAGTTGTGTTATTCTATTATTACCTACATTGACCTACCTGACTATATACCATAGAAAAGGTCTCATATGATACCTTATGTATACCGTATAAACTAAGATTTTGCAAGTCACGTTACATTCGATAGCCCTGATTCTTCTCCACCCACAATACCTAAATCTCCGAAACCCAAATCTTTCCATCTCCTTGGGTGTTTTCTATTGCTTACCTACTTACCACCAGATAATCCGTCAGCTCGTTTACTTTCCAATCACATAGAAAAAATAGTTTTTCTAATGTTCACAGTTTTTGGTGTAGTAAAAATAAATGGTGTTATAATGAATTTTGATGACAATATCATTGTTACAGGTAGCAAACAAATTCTCCATGGCGTCAATGGTCGACTTCGTCCTCGGCAGCTGATCGCCATCATGGGACCTTCAGGAGCTGGCAAGTCTACACTCCTGGATGTACTGTCCGGATACCGCATCACTGGTGTCGGAGGAGCAGTCTTCATCAATGGAAGAGGGAGGATTATGAGTGAGTGAGAGTTCTTCACTATTCTATAATTTTGAATGAATAGCTCAAATAACTTAAATCCATGCTGAATTGAAGTGATTGTCTTTTAACTAGCAAGTTAATCAATAAATAAATTCAAAGACTTCAGTTTTACAAACACTTAATTTTGTAAATCCGCTTGAGTCCCAAAATTAAGTGTAAGTATAATTAAGGAAAATAAATTTTAAGGCTTCTTTATAACAAGTACACTTGATAATAAGATTCATTTTATTAGTAAGAAGAATAATAGGATCAAACTTTAAATACGAATCATTTTTTGTGCACTTCCATTGGTTTACAAGGAGAGATCGCACGAGCTAAATTCGGATGTTCGTGACACTTAATTTAATTAACAAAGAACTCGCTTGAAAAGAGTTTTAAAGTCAAAAACAATGTTTGAACAGTCACTGAACGACCCAAAATCATTACCTGTGTAAACAAACTAAAATACAAAAGTACATAAATGTTTGAAAAAATATACCTATCGTTAATGAATTATACAATAAATAATTACAGAATGCGATTCATTAAGATCTTAATAAGCAGAAAAACAATATCAGTAGTCTGCAATTAGATTGCACTTGCGTTATCAGTGCAAAATAATGAGTAATGAACCATAGGACCCGGATCTAGGCGCTTGATAAACCTGCTTAGGTTAAAACCGCATTCATGCCGCCATGATATAACACATTCACGTGTGACATCGATATATGCACTTCGTAAGGTAGATAACAAGAATGCGTCATAGTCCGCTGGAATACATTTGCTAATACATTCACATCATCAGCCTATTAGTGCCCACTGCTGAGCAAAGGCCTCTTCTCACATGGAGAAGGTTTGAGCATTAATCGCCACGCTTGCTCAAGGTGGGTTGGCGATTTCACACTTCCAGGTTTTCCTTCACCGTATGACAGAAATCTCTAAATAATCTTAGAAAGTACATCATAGGTAACTCGGAAAATGTCTCATTTATACTTCTCAAGTATCGAACACGCTACTTCATGCATCATAAGCGGGTACCTTAACCTCAAAGGGTACCTATTGAATCTTCATAATACGAGTACACTATAAATGATTTTAAAAAACGTCAAAAGCGTTAAGCCTTACTTTAAAAAATCTACAGAGGTTCCCACACACATGTGGTTCCCTCTAATTTTCTTTTTTATTTCTTTCATGCCATACTTGTAATGTTGATAACTTAGGTGTAAACTTTAGAATAATTATATGTTCAATTGAAAAAAAAATACCAATACATACTTAGCTTTGTTTATGGAGAATTAACAAGACATAATTTGCGAGGTACTAAGCTGTGTTTTAAATCGTTTAGTGTGTAAAACTGTGTAATAAAATTATTGTAATGTGCATTTACAATGCACGTACATCTACAAGTTAGAATATATTTATTAATACTTATGTTAACTATCGTAAAATAAAACAGTGTAGATGCAACACGAACAAAACAGGTTGTTTAGCAATTATAAATATCTATTTATTTAATTGTCGTATTTATTAATAATAATCATTCATAAGACTCAATTATGAATACATGGTTGACGCGGGTGGCTGGGCAACCGTCTGCCGTGCAACGTTTTGCGAGATCGATTCCGGATTCCGGCTCGGAATTGTTGTTTCGGTTCTGGGTGTAAAATTGTATGTTTATAAACGTACCCACGACACGAGAAATTATAACAGTGGGGCCAAATACAAAAAAAGAAACGCCAATCCACTTTAAGGAAGCCTTGTGATTAAGACCTAAAACTTTTCCGAATGAGAAGAGGGCTTTGCTCAGCAGTAGGCACAAATCGCCTAATGAATTATCACCATAAAATTAAAACCATGCTTTCCCGTTCAATCTCAATAACCTACTTGCATAACGTATCTATCAGATTTCCTACATCAATGTTCCAGTTACACTACCCTACTGGTATAACTAGTCTGTTCTAAGCTTAACCATGACCTGACGGTTTCTTGATTCTAGTTAACTAGCACTCGATTCACATCACAGCGGTACGTGTTAATCATGAATGCACGACTCCACAGCACTGTGATACGATTTATAATCTTTATGTGTATTATGATAACTTTATCACTACCATAAATAAATCTATTTCAGTTAATCATTAGTAATCACACGTCTTCCTCATAACTATAGAAAGTAAGCTACAATAAAATTTTCTAAAAATTACGAATGCTTAAGTTATTTTTTGTAGCAATGTTCAGACATTTAAATTTCAATGCATTTGAATAGAAGCAGGATATTCTACAGATTCATTAAGAATGTACAATGTGTGACAATTTCGGCGATGTGGCGCCACTGTCGATTTTGGCAGACACAATAATTATAGAGAAATGATCCCACAGAGACGAAACTAATTTTAAACGTACTTTATAAGAAAGACGTGAGGTTATCAAAGTCAAAATCATTTCTTCTATCTAAACCATAAATAGGTACATTTGAAACGTCAAAATAGAATAACTCTGTTAGTCTGTTCGTCATTGATGCTAGGTGGGAATCATTTACTTAAATGCCTCAAATACCTTATTTCTGAAATTCCAGAGAGGTTCAAGAGAATGTCGTGCTACATCCAACAAGACGACAGGCTGCAGGGTTTACTGACTGTCGGAGAGAACATGGCATTAGCAGCCGACCTGAAGCTGCCCACCAAGCTAGACAAATATGAAAAGGGAGAAGTTGTAAGTATGACTAGAATCTGATTTAATCATCCAATCCATCATTCCATTCGTCGCCAATCCCCATTTAATCCTCAAATACTAATAAACCCACTGAAGACCGGCATCACACTTGTAACACCTCTGGTGTTACGGGTATTCATGGGCAGCGTCGATTGTTTTCCGTCAGGTGATCCCCCAGATTGTTTAAGGATTATGAATGAAAAAAAAATTGTACTATACTTAAATTACTAAGTTAGGGACACACTTATAATTGTTAATAAGTGTGTACCAAATGAACACTTAGCTCTTGCTATTGCCATCTTCTAAGTTTCCTTATTATAGGAGTAATTACCTAATATCTGTCAAAAAGTTTATGTTCACTGCACTTTTCCTTCGATATCCTTAGTCGAAAACTAAATACAATAAAATAAAACCGACTTCAAAACATAAACTAAAAAGCAAAAAATAATTTTGCTATTATTTTTTTAGAATATTTTTTTTTTTTATTTCTTAAAGTCGGTGCCAAGTAAAACAATAATAGTGTAAAGACATTACCTACATAACCTCTTGCTAGTTTGATGATTAGTAGGTACCGATCAATATATTTTTCTTATACTTACTGTTCTTGTTTGGCATGTAACTAAGCGAACAAACATAAAAAAACATATATACGGTCGGATTGAGAACCTTCCTCCTTTTTGGAAGTCTGTTAAAAATACTTCGAACAGGGGGACTGACACAATGAACTAGTATTGGCATACAAGCCTGCTATAAAAACCATTCCCTTCCTTATGATTTCGACATGTTTTCCGCACTGTAAGTACCGCGTTCGTAAGTAGGTATCTATGATAACACTATGAATCACGTAGTTCATAATTGCCATGCACCGACATGTTCTGAATATTTATTTAACTTCAATTTGCATTACTTGTGTGTTGGTTTGATTCTTTCGTCGTGTTTGGGCATATGGTAGCGTGTATTTTTTTTTTTATTACCGTTATCATTTTGAATTTATACAAATTCCACTTGTAGCCTCTAGAAAACCCTCAGACAGGGTAACGGGTAGGCTTGGATTAGGAGAAGGAACGAGGTTTTTTTGTGAGGGGAAAATCATCCAATGACTTCTCCCGCCCAGGGCCGGGCGGGAGAGAGTGTCAGAGTCTTACTGACTAAAAACTCCCCTGTTCCTTCTCCTGCTCTGGGCCGAGGTCGCGGTGCCTCATTGCGCTTACCCCGCAACCCCGGAGAAGGAACGGGGTGGTAGTCAGTCAGTAAGAATCTGACGCTCCCTTTCCTCTGGAAGAGACAAGTCGTTTAATCGTTTTCCTTACTGTTATTCCTATGGGTAGACGTCTCAACAACAACAAAACATCTTTTAATAAAGCCCCAATAATTGTGTTCGCCTAACTAACAAGACAGATACAATTATTCATAATGGAAGGATTCATAATTATTTAACTAATATCCACACTCCACAGTCATACTCTGCTATTGTTGAAAAACAAAAGATATTTAAACAAAAGACAGAAAATGTTCTTTCAAGCAAAGTCTGGCAAACAAATATCATATTATTACTTACTAGTTGTATTTTAGTGGCAATGCACTTTATATGCACAAGTCGACATTTAAAAGCGTATAAGGTAAATTCATACGTCGAGCGTCGACCGGAGCAGCGTAACCCAAATTTGACAAATTACTTGTTTCGCAGAAACTTTGTGTGTGTGTGTGTTAATTTGAACGCAGCTGTCGTTGAACTAATAAATCCATTCGACATTTTAATTGATGCTGACGTTAATGATAATGTAAAATAAAATATAGAAATTGTATTATTTTTTATTTATAATATGAAAATCTAAGCATTGCGTCCTTTATTGTTAGTTGTTTTTATTTTCCCATGTATTTACGTAGGCAGGCAAAGGTCTGCACAATTCCACAAACATATTAAACTATTTTATTCACACATAATATCTGAATATCCATTTCATATTATTATTACCTACATATTTTTTTTAAATATCTAAAACTTGTAGTTAAAATACGGCTTTTTCATTTTAATTTGTACCTACCTACTTGTTTCTTAGACTAATATTTGAAGTATCATTAAAGCAATAGAATATTTACTTATCTAGTCATTTTACCCGACTGCGGCGACAGAAAATGGAGGTTTATTAAAACCGGTTCACTATAAATTGCCGTTATTCTTGCAGATTGAGGATATCCTAACAAACCTGGGTCTCTACGAGCATATGAACACAAGAGGTGCCCAGCTCTCCGGAGGTCAGAGAAAGAGGCTGTCCATCGCCCTGGAGCTGATCAACAATCCTCTCATCATGTTTCTTGATGAGCCTACAACGTGAGTCGACATTTTTGCTTAGTGGATTTTTCAACTCGTTCAGCATTCAAGTAAAAAGAGATTAATTCTAAGAAAGAGATTAGAAACAGGTTCCGTCGTAGTACCTAAATAATTCACTGTAAAAGTATCTCGTTAAAAGAACATATCGATACATCTATAAATATAAATAAAATTTGAGTGTGTAGTAGCTGCTATAGATTTTAGGAAATATCTTTTAGCTGTTATCTCTAAAGAATAAAGTGTAGCGCGATAGCATTTATAAAATTTTACCATTTTTATAAACGCTTACCTACTTAATTTTCGCTGACAAATTCGCGGGTATTAGGAAGTATAATATATATGTATTCAATTAATATAGGTATACGGCTATAAGTACTTAGCCGTTTTTGGTAACGGATATAGGTACCAAGAAGAATTGAGTTTTACTAACATGAAGTTCTTTTAAAAGGGACATTTTCATGTCGACAATATGTTGAAAGTTTTCGCTCCACTGTAAAAGAAGTTAGCAACGCAATATAAAATCAATTGTCACAATGACCTACCTACAGTCATAATTACTATTATTATTATTATTTAACTTAATATGACATTTCTGAATTGCTTTTTAATCTACTTTATCGGGGTTTGTGTAAAATGTGCTGATTAACAACATTTTTGATTACGATATGAGATTGAAACAATATTACGTAAAATGCATAAGTAAGTTAACGTGCATCCTTCTTAAATATATTTCTTAATTTAGTTTAAATATTCTATTAAAAAAGATTAGAACTAGAAAATTTTGTAATGCAATTCAATTTCAAATATAATATAAATTCAATTAAAGAATTTGTTAAGAATAATACAAATTACTTATACGGGTATTAATTTTATTTGTTGTACACACATAATTTTCAAGCTTTGGTCAATGTTTGAGACAACCTACATTTTAAATTATCTATAACATAATGTTGATTTTTGCTAAAAAAACATAAAACAGTTTGTTAGTAAGTATTTGTTAGTAACGTTAATCAGTTTGTATTTGTTAGTAACGTTAATCACATTAACGTTACTAACAAAATTAATAAATAATAAAATAATGTCATGTTTCTAATATCAGTGCATTCCAAATACATAACAATATTTCTAAAGCGGGCACATAATTTCCTCTGATAAAACAAACACATAACAACTACGCTAAATGTTTTTGGTCTATTAATAGTTAGGTAATTAGAATTATTTCCTCCATGCTTGAACTTTTACCCCACTGTGTTGGTGCATATCAGTGATGTGCACAAACATTTCCTGCACGTGACGGCTAGACACACTGGGGTCAAATCTAACTGACACAATATTTACCAATGAGGGAACGACGGCTAAAGAAATTCTTATTGAATAGAATAGAATGGAATGGAATATTTTCTTTTTGCAAATATAGGTAGATAAACAATAGGTCTTATGAAACAATGAATCTATTGATTACCTTCTTTATTTTAGAATGTTGTTTTTATTTTAAAAGCTAGATACACTGAATAACATTTGTAGGTCGAATTTAATTGGTTTAAAGTTTAATACTTCTACTTCAACATTCAGCTAATTCTCTTTACTCCCATGGACTAAGGAACTACACAACAAACTACATATTTGAACCAGGTTAATAAACAAGATTTCTGACACAACTTAAACGTTTTATTTTAATAAAAGTTATAAGAAAAATTTTACAACGCCATGACAGTCGCCGTATTCAGAATGCACACACAATGCCGCCATCTAGCGTTACAATGGAAAAAAAAGACAAGAAAAAATAAACAAAACATATTCAACCTCCTTATAAAATTTCATCCAATAATATAACATCTTAAGGGTTTAATTCCCATACAGGACATACTTACATACATATACTACTCACATACTTACTCCCACATCACAAACGAAGATTTTCGTATGGCATCCATGGGGTATTGATACTTACTTACTATTTTTGAACAGTAACTATTGTGAGACATACAAATTTAATAAAATTAACGACTTATTCCTATTACTTACTCTACAAGTTTCCAGGCACAGCGGGATTCTTAATCGTTGTTTATTTTATTGCGCCTACTTTCAATAAACTTATCAAGTATTGTATATTTCAGAGGTCTTGACAGTTCGTCATGCTCACAAGTAGTCCAGCTTTGCCAAACCCTGGCTCATCAGGGTCGAACCATCGTCTGTACAGTGCATCAGCCTTCAGCATCATTGTTCGCCCTCTTCGACCAAGTATACGTCCTGGCCGCCGGCCGCTGCATGTACCAGGGCACCACGAAGAACCTGGTACCTTATTTGCAGCAAGCTGGGATTCCTTGCCCTAAATACCATAACCCTGCTGATTATAGTGAGTACTTATTTATGTTTCTTTTTTTCGGTCAATGGATTATTAGGTAACTTTATACGATTGATTCAGAAATATCGCAGGAACATATATAGTTACACGAAAGCGTAAGCTCTTGACGAAATTATTAATATTGATTACTATCACTAGTAATGGGTATGGAAGACTCGAACAAAACCTTATATGAATAACAAAACATGGAAAAATATTCAACAACCTGTAGTCAACAACAAAAGTGGCCGCCCTATAAATCCGTAAAATTTGGATTATAAAAATTCGTTTATCTATCTTACTGCTACATATACATATGTATGTCGCAATCGAGTTATCATTGGGACTTTTTGAGAGGCAGCCGACCAATGCTGTCGAATGTTGAAATGGTCGCGCTTAGCAACCTTCGTCACCTGAAAAACTTCGAAATGATTCATCACCTAGAGACGCCCGCAACAAAAGAAAGAAGGATGGACCCTACTGATGACAGTGGAATTAAACTCCAACTCCGTCATATATGTATACATATTTCTGAATCAGTCTTAGGAGAATATTTATTGTTACTCATTAACGTACCTACTATTACTACTACCCTGCCATAATTTGGCATATATTAAAATACAAATAAAATAAATAAATTCGTAATTTATTTTGATATTTGACCTATCAAAGCGAGCAATTAATTCAATGTTATTTTTGATAATTATATTTTAATAACACAAACGTTTAGGAAGTAATTATAACTTCGTAAACATTAACTTCGTAAACATTCGTTAACAATTAAAACAAACATTGTCAAATGGAAACACGTTTATTATTCCTCAAAATCATTTAAATAAAATTGATCAAAAAAATATTAGAGTAATAATATTTGCATACCTACATAATTGCTAAAAATACTTAACAAATCTTTGTTCTATAAATATTTTGAGTATTTTGGTATTCTATCTTTATTAACTTGAACAATAAAGCAACTAAAAACTTGAATTATATTGTACAAGCGACCCGACCCGGTTTCGCACGGGTAGCAATTCTAATACGAAACTTCTCCACAATTTAATAGATGTCATTATACATATAAACCTTCTTCTTCAATCATTGTATCTATTTAAAAAACCGCATCAAACTCCATTACGTAGTTTTAAAGATTTAAGCATACATAGGCATTTAAGGACATGCATAGCAATACAAACATTACAAGTCATCACAAGGATTTCATTTGTTTCATATCTATTTAAATGATCACTTTCCCTTTTTTTCTTCAGTTATCGAGCTCTCATGTGGTGAATACGGCCAAGACAAAATAGACCTTATGGCGAACAAATCAGAAAATGGCAAGGCTTTGGACTGGTTTGACGACCACCAGTCCATTCCTTCCATGGAAGGTCTACGAAAACTGGTTCCTCTGAGTGTGCTAAGAGACACAGAACCTACAGGAGGGGATGAGGAGACCAGCCAATCCAACCAGCTCAGTGTACTTATGAGGAGAGGATTCTTAAAGGCTAAGAGAGATGCGGTAAGTTTCTTCCTTACTTAGGTTCCCAATTGGTGACGTTTTCTCCATGTTAGTGGATATAAGTATAAAAATCAACTATCAACTTGAGGAGTTTGCATTAATTATGAGAATAACCCTAATAGTGTTGTTGCCATTGACCAACTAAAATAGTGTATTGCATGTTTTTATTTACCTGAAAACAAAGTGTTTGATTATAATTTATATATTGATATATTTTCAAACGTCAAACATTAAAATCAGTCACTTGATAATTACTAAGGATGCTAGTCTAGCTGGCCCTTTCACGATCAATTCACACCAATGGGATTGAGCTACGAATCAAAAAAATCATTTGATAGAATAGCTGGACTTAGGGCCAACAACATAAGATAGAAATTCCCAATATACTTACAGGAAATTTTATTCACTAATTCAACTGCTGAGCAATTCCAAATAGTTTGCTTAGCAACTAACTCTAAATATTAATTCTTCCGAACATAGATATATAATACTAATATTTGCTCAACTCGCTTCCAGACGATGACTCATTTGCGTTTGATCGTAAACGTGGTGGTAGGCATAATGTTGGGAAGCCTCTTCATCAACGCTGGTAACGAAGGTTCGAGGGTCCTGGAGAACTACAACCTGTTGTTTGCCATCTTGATGCACCACATGATGTCTCCAATGATGTTGACTATCCTTACCTGTAAGTATTTTATACAAGAACTTCATTTCCTATACTAATAATTTAAAGATGTAAAATTTGCAAGTTTGTATGTAGGGAGTAGTCTTAGGAGCCGCTGTTCGTATTTCCAGTCTTTTACCGATAGATAGCTACAATGTTCCCGAGTGCTACACCTACATAGGCTATAAAATATTACGCTACGATCAAATGGAGCCGAACAGTCGGTAAAGCCGAGCGCGAGTAGCTAGTACTAAATTAAGGATAATAATACAGTCTCGATACTACAAAAATGGTTAATAAATAAAAATAAATTAATATTGTTTCGACTTCGTTCACTGATCAGTTAAATTTAAGTCGGTATCTGTATTCAAAATCTGTTAGTGCGATTGCCTTTTGACTCGCCTTTATCAATGCAGATAATTATAAATAATAGATGCAAGTAATAAGTTACGTCATGTCAACAAAATATAATCTTTATTTTTAACTATGTATAAGTCAGTTTTTTCCATTTGTGTGTATTTGTTTACAGTCCCTAATGAGATGTCGATATTGTCCAAGGAACACTTCAATAGATGGTACTCGTTGGGATCCTATTACATATCAATAACTATCGTCGATCTACCAGTATCGGTAAGTTTCTCTTTAATATCAAATAAACTGGCGTAAGACATACTAAATTCATTGAAAACACGACTTAGAATAAGAGTCCCATTGTGTTTTGAAACTAGTAGAGTTTTTCTCAGTTAATTAAGGTGTGTAAGTTGTGATTTTCAATAAAAAATAATAATTTGATTGTGTGTACCAAAAGATCTCGCCTATCGTTAAGTGTGATTCTGTGCAGTGCACTGCATTCCGTTTTTACTTTGTTTAAATGAATGTAATTCAATTTAGCTACTAATTCTTTGATTACCATACCGTTTTTGCTGAAGACTGTACTGACTTGATACTTGGTATTCCAGATAATAGGCTGTGCAGTGTTCAGCGTGATAGTATACACGATGTCGTCCCAGCCGCTAGATATCGTGCGCTTCTCCATGTTCTTCGCAATCTCACTGTACACCGTGCTGGTGGCGCAGAGCTTCGGGCTCATGATCGGAGCCGTCTTCAGCGTTGTGGTGAGTACTTTATTCATAAGGCTATTGATGAAGGATACAAATACTAGTGTATACTATATGTATATTCTTCACAAAAGTAAATGAAGCATAGCTATTTCGCAGGAAAAATACTTTAGATAATCATTTATTTTACTATTGTTTTAGAGACTTCTCTAGAGCTAACAGATTGTAAATATAAGGATTGATTCATCCTTATTGAATTATGACTTAATTCATAAAGACCTAATTTTGAAATGTTTTTTATTTTTGCTTTTACGGAATAGGAATTGTACCTGCTGCTGGAAAACTTAGTTTAAGTTCAAATTAAGGATTCAGTTTATATGTCCTTTATATATTCCTGTCTGATAGTCAGAAAACAATTTATCATATCAGTTTCTCATTTTCATCGATCAAGATTTAAAGTTACACAACCTCTAGAATATTTTTTTATCAATACGCCAACCCGCATTGAGCAAGCGTGGTGATTAATGCTCAAACCTTCTCCGTATGAGAAGAGGCCTTTGCTCAGCAGTGGGCACTTATAGGCTGATGATGATGATGAATATGCCAAATGGCTATAGCGAATGACCTCATATTTTAATTTACCATTTCTTATATTTTTTTTAGAACGGCACATTCTTGGGCCCTACGCTGTCAGTACCTATGATGATGTTCGCTGGTTTCGGAGTCACCCTTCGAGACTTGCCATCCTATCTGCGCTGGGGATCCTACATCTCTTACCTGAGATATGGACTCGAGGGTTTCATTGGCGCCATCTATGGACTAGACAGGCCTATCCTCGACTGCAATGAGGCCTTGTACTGTCATTACAAGTAAGTAGTTTTTAGTAAGATGTAGAGTGGTATGCATACGGAATGACATTAAAATATCGATTATAGTTTCTTCTTAGTTCTAATATAACCATTTATCATTGAAAGTGATTGATCATTGAATCATCGAGACAAGTTTATTGATTAAGTTTACTTCATGATTTAGAAATATTTTCTGGGTATAATAGATTCAGATATAGTGCAGCCTTATATCATTAAGCGCGGGTCTACCGTTGTCGCAGTGTTGCACTATATATATGTACAATCCTAATTCACCATTATCAGTAACCACTACTTCTGATAACTAGTAATGTCAAAATTTCAATGAAACGGTCTATTCTCATTAATCCTCAATGTTTGAGGTCCAACTTCGCACCTGCTTAAGTCTTTGACTGCCGACAGAAAACTCATGAAGGCCAATCCTCCGCTAACGGAGGTCACCGGTAACCCATATGGCGTTTAACGTGTTACGTTAACGTGTTAAACGCTCCTTTGAAGGACAGATAAAAGTGAATCACCAAGTTTGATCTGATTTTTTCTTAACTATATTTTTATATCTATAATTTTCAGACATCCCCGTACATTCCTAAACGAGGTGGCGATGTCTCCTGACGAATTCTGGTGGGATGTTTTGGCGCTCTCCGTCTTCGTTGTAACACTTAGGATTGCGGCTTTCATTCTGCTGAAGTGGAAACTGGATGCCGTACGATAAATGTGAGGAATTTTAATTGTAGTATATGAAGTTGATTCACTTGTAAGTCAAAACACTCGAAGAATTATTTATTAATAGGGTAGTTTTCTTCAACCGAAAAAATTAATATATTCACAAAATTGTTATAATTTATTTAGTTTATTTTTTTTATAAAATTAGGGCTTGTTTCACCATGTCTGAATGTCTGAATTGATGTTATCTACCAGCCAGATATATTATTTTGAATTTAGAACGTAATTTGCATAAACTATCAGTCAAGTTGTGAAACACGCCCTTTATATACTTCTTAAATAAAGAATGTGAGTGTAAAAAGGATATTAATGACATGAGAAAAGTGTAGTCAACTACCCTATTATAAATAAATTTTAAAAGAAAGAAATGATTTAATATGACTTAATTGAATGGAATGATTGAATTTATTTGTGATAACATATCATAGAATGTTAATACGCTATACCGTTTTATGTTCAAGTTTCAAATTAAGACTTTTTGCTCAGTTACACTTTTTATATAAGAAATACGTGCCGTGATCAGAGTAAGAAATCATATTTGTACAGCAGTTACAGTTTAGCAAAATAATTATATATTTCTTCTCCAAAATCAAAATCTGCCGTTGCTACGTCTTCTACGAAAGTCGCAAATTTAAATTGTGCCAATGAAACATTACTGTTTCAATATACTTTATACCTTCATACTTGAAGGTGAGTATAAACGTATAATTTATGATTTAAATTAGTTTGAAAAAGATTGGTACTGAGCAATTAGTCGTTTTTTATTTTTTAACACATTTTGTGTTTTCAAGAACTAGTTATATAAGTAACAAGCGCTTAGTCTTATAAGATGGGTCCAAAGGTAAAAAACTGTGATAAGTTTCCAAAATATTTTTATATATCGAACAACAAAACTTCATTCAGTTATTTTAAACCTTATAACTTCGTACAAAGAGTTGCAAGTAAGTTTTTATCTTCTCAACTTATATTACTTATAAAATTTAAGGCTGTGAAGGCTATTTTTTACAATAATTAATAATTTTCACATCAAAATAATTGATGGGAATATTGATATTGTAAAATAATAACACTTTAATTGCAAGCATTTAAATGAATTTGGATTTGAAATGTCTGACTTAAGAAATAGTCTGACTATTCTTAAGACCCCAAAGTCTGCTAGACAAAAGTGCGGTATCAAGAACTAGATTTTTTCTCAAATCGACATTTAAATTATAATTCATTCAATTTACGATTGCTGTTAGTAATAACATTATAACACAACTCCATCCAGCACCTTCTTAGTTTAAAAATATTACTGGCAAGAAATATTATAAACAACAAATTAAAAAAGCGAAGTCACATCCTAGAATTTCCATTTTTAAAAATGTGCTTGTAATAAAAATGTCAAATAGCCTTCGTATTTATATGTAGGGTTCCTTACTAGATAAATTGTCGTTTATCATGATTCCGTACCTACCAGTTTGTAGGAACTGTACACAAATATTTGTGTTAGTATATTGCCTATATTAGTTGCTCAATTAGGTATTTATTCGTAACTAGATGTAGATATACATATATATCTATAGGCTGTACTGAATTCGTATGTAGCTAGAACTATGTATATAACGGTGATAATTATTGTAAATATGCTTTTTTTGTAACATTAAACTTTTTATTTTGGTTAATGATTTGTTTTATTCGAGTTTTTTTACTACCTGGGGCGCTGGAAGGTGGTGATCAAAATTCTTTCACTGATAGATAGCTACAATGTTCCTGAGTGCCACAGTACATCACTCTACAACCAATAGTAGCCGAGCAATGGGTGTAGTACCTACTAAAATTAAACAACTACCAGTATTTGAAAAATGTTTTTGACGATTTGTCATTAAGAAGTTCTTATTACAATAATTTTAAAAGTAATTAAGCATATTGGGAAATAGCGACGTCATTAGCGAGGTTAGACCGCGTATATATTATTAATAAAGTCAATAAATTAATTGCCCATTATACATTTATTTTATTTTATTAAACTTTTTACTTTTCTTTTGTTTATGACCCCACACGTAATCAATGACCAGCCATTGCGCATAGAAGCTGATTGTTAATGATATAAGAAAGATGAAGTATACTGAAAAGAATGTTGTAGTACTAGCTGTTGACAGGAACCCGTAGACTGACTCACCTTGGAGAAAGCTGACGTACACCCTGCGAAGAAAATAAAAATGTCTATTTAACAAAATACACACAAATAAAAAGTAAATGAATAAAGGATAAACTGGCCCATGGTACATAGAAGGGTCACTAGTGCCCATCAAGTTCTGAGGCTCATTTTTCTATGTTAATTTTACGTTGAACTTTTTCCTAAGGATTTACCAAATGCTGTTTTCTAAAATTAAACTGTCTGTATAATTATTATATAATAAATATATAGACTGTCAGAGAATGTCTAAGGGGTTAAATCTGCCTATGTACAGAATGCCATCCTTTGAGTATGATTACGCAAATAAAATATTAAATGAATAAATAAACTATCTAAACCCAATTTACAACAACACTCTTGCACTAGGTACTACATAAATAAATATATTCAGGCAGTTTAAAGTATTCTAACTCACACATTGTGTGTGGGAGAGCTATGTTTCGGCACGAATGGGTCGGCTCGATCGGAGTGATACCACGGTCTCACAGAAAACCAGCGTGAAATAACAACAGCGTTATGTGAGTGATGTTACCGGAGGCGCAACCCTTTTCCGACCAGTAATCCCTCCCCAATCCCTACATCTTTAAAACCCTAATCAGTGAGTAATCAGGTAATACTTCGGCTCATATGCCATCCACCCTCATGTATCACTGCGCGGTTGGCGCGGTGACTGGGCAACTACCTGGCTGCCGCGCAACGTGTCGCGGGTTCGATTCCCGCACGGAACAACTGTTTGTGTGATCCACAGATTGTTGTTCCGGGTCTGGGTGTGATGTGCATGTGATATTGTATGTTTGTAAAGGCACCCTCGACACAGGAGAAAATTCTAGTGTGGGGCAACGATTTTTAAACAAAAAGCAAAAAAAGAACCCTCATCACTTGAAAAAAGGGCAGTATTACCGTACAGTCATAATCTTTTAGCATTAATTCATTACACAATCTTTATCAATACTTACATAAGACTATAGGCAGTTCCAAAGCCCACCATCACACCCAGATGAAGTTTCATAGTCTCAGGTCTCTTTCGAGGAGTGAGGAGTACATCCATGATAACGGTTACCATGGAAACCGTATGCAAGGAGTGCTGAGACCAGTACGGCAAGTACTCAAAGACTCGAGGAGGTGCGATGATGCTTGGGTCATAGAGGAAGGTTACCCAAAATGTGATATCGGCAAACTGTAATAAGGTTAAAATTTGATTTACATTTTTGGTTGAGTCAGCTGTGTACGTTCACAATTGGGAGACGACTGTTACCTACTGTGAGTTAATAAAAGTTTATAAAGTTTGTTAAAAAAGAGGCCTGTTTTGCCACCTTCATACAAGTTCTCGATAAACATAATTATTTGACATACTCATGTGTAGTTCATACAAAATATTTGATGATCAAATTGTCTTTTCATGATCTAATTAGAATAAACGATTCAACTTTAAATTTGACTTGAAGTCTAAGTCTTAAACTTAAACTTCGACTTTCATTTTGACTTTGACTTTGAATGTTTTATTATCACTTATGACTCTTTCAGTTTGTAACGGGATGTTGTTATCATTTATTACCAAGTTTTACTCGTTTTCAAAATCGCATTGCATTCAATTGCATTCAAATTGATATCATATCTACTTCGATTGCTTCTCAATTATTGTGGTGTTGCGTAGTTTTGAACTTTATGTCAGTGACTAATCTTCAAAGACTAGTCTTGTACTTAGTAGTTAATTCTGGATACAATTATTTGGTCAACAAAGTTTAAGTTTATAGCAAAGTTGGTGATTTTTATTATTGGTTTGCTTAATCGCTTTCTTACTAAGTTTGCCTGTTCATTGTTTATCAGTCATTCAATCATCATCAATGAATATGGCAGTGTATGGAATAGTGTTTCAACCGTGTGCCATTAAAAAACAATCTTACGACACATAATTTAGCGAAGAGAGGGACCTTGATGAGTAGACTTAGTATATTTATTTAATACCCATTCATTTTGCCGTTGTGGTTGTAATTCTTCGTGAGTGAGGTTACCGGAGGCTCAATACTTGCTCTTCAACAATCCCTAAGTTGCCAAATCCCTTTTGACCCCAAAAAGTCGGCAAAGCACTCATAACTCCTCTTTTGTTGGTGTCCATAGGCGGCGCTGATTGCTTACCATCAGGCAATACGTATGCTCGTTTACCGTAAGTCGTTTAATAGTTAGAAACCGTCTACAACCACAAGCTCTTGCGTTTATAGCACACTGAAACTTACAGTAGTAGTAGGCAGCAAGATGGCTGTCATGATGACGTCACGGACCACTCTGAGCTTCGTCACATAAGGAGGTTCCTTCTCTCGCTTCTCAGACCAATCGCAGTACAGACAGAGAGGCAGGTATGCCAACGCTACCAGCTGTAATGGATTAAATTGTGGTTATATTACAAATTAACTGTTTGGTTTTAACTAAAGCTAAAACTAAGCGCGACTTCGTTCGCGTGGAATAGTGATTTCCTGTATCTTTTTGGTATAAAATCTATCCTATGTCCTTTCTCGAGTTCCAAACTATGTATGTACTAAATATCACAGAAATCAGTCCAGTAGTTTAGGCGTGAAGAAAAGACAGACAGAGAGACAGACAGAGTTACAAAAAAAAGTTACACAAACACGCACAATCTGTTCTCGGTAAATAAACGAAGCAGTTGTGTAGAGGCTAATAATAGCTTTGAAGACATTCATTACAGTAGTTACTACTGTACAACTTGTACATGTGTACGTACTACTGAGTAGTAGGTACACATGTAAGTACAAGTTTAACACCATCAGCCTATAAGTACCCACTTCTACACAGAGGATTCTTCTCATACAGAGGAATTTACACCATTAATCACACAACGCTTGTTTCTGAGCATTAAGTACCTAATCACAACAATCCGAATTGGCGATTTTATATTTATAATTAGATATATCAAGTCCAAGTTTCCTCATGATGTTTTCCTTCGCCTTTATCGGTATGCTATCCATGCTTCGGCACTGATGGGTCGGCTCGACCGGAGTCATACCACGGCCTCACAGAAAACCGGCGTGAGACAACCACAGCGTTGTGTTTCGCCGTGTGAGTGAGGTTACCGGAGGCCCAATCCTTCCCCTCCCCCGATCCCACCCCATCCCTCCACAAAATCTGTGAGTTTATTAGACATAAACTCAGAAAATACACAAACTCGGAAAAAGTCACATTATGATCACATATGAGAACTAAGCCACGGCCACGACATTACATGTTTACCTACTCACAAATAAACTTAGAAAATCAATAAAAACTTTAGCAATATTTACGTTGAACCAGCAAGTGATGAGCTTCCATCGGATGCGGTGGTAGGCTCTGACTGAAGCATCCTCGTCGACAGTGACATCTATACTTAAGGTCACTAAAGCTGTAATTACAAGATGCAAGAAGGACAGACTATAAAACCATTGTCTAACAACTAGTAAAGAACACCCACAGATCTTTAAAAACTTCACTCTATACGTGTTTTTATTTATCGCGGTTATCATATTAAAGTTTTGATATTAGAACAATAATAATATAAATATTCAATTATCAAACACAAGCGGTTTTATTGGCGATACTTCGTACACTGAGCCTTGTCGCAATTTACAAATGGCTTATGGTAAATAAAGCAATTACAATACAAATATCTCTCGAGTTTTTTTGTTTGTTTTTTTTAAACCGTTCAATTATTTTGTGTTAGCTGCATATGTATAGCTTACGTGTCATCACTACTTAGTATGAAACAAAGTCGTTTTCTCGGTCCCCGTACCCTATCTATGCTTAAACATTTAAATCTACGCAACGGAATTTGATGCCGTTTTTTAGAAAAGGAAGGTTTATCTATGTATGTATGTATACTTATAATAAATCTATAGAGAGGTCATTTCTGTACATGAAATATATTTTCAAAATCAGGGGGTGATTAGTGATCGATACTGATGCCAAATATGTAATTTCTAAAATTTTTGTCTGTCTGTCTGTATGTTCCTTATAGAAACATAGTTATATTTATAAAGTTATATTTACAGTTATATATAATAAAATGAAATATAGTTATATTTATTTTAACAACTTTGTATACCGTGTTTTTCGCAAATAAATATATTATTATATTATTATTATTTGTATGTTCGTTTCCGTTCACGGGATCACAGGATCCCGGACCTTTGGAAGGCGTACGAGGGGCCGAAGCCAACTCGCAGAGGCCCTTTGAACAGTTTTAATCTAAATGTGATGGGACATCAGCCGGCAATTATCCCTGTTTGCACTATGAAAGTGCACCCAAGGATAATCCCCGGTTGATGCAAGACTATTGCGAATTGTGGTAATAAACGAAAGGGTTATGGGTATGGGTTGCTATGGACTGGTGGATATGATAACTATGGAAATACTATGGCCCCTGCCCCTGACCAATATTGATACATACGGATAAACAGGCAGGGGGTGACTGGCAAACTCAATTAATGGGCCCCCGAAAACGGCCGCCCTATATTATTATTATTATTAAACAAAAGCTAATCGACAGATTTTAACGAAACTTAGTACAATAAATTTTTATAGTCCTGGGCAGGTTATAGGATACTTTTCATCACGCTTGAAAAGCGGGCTTTTTATCTGTGCGGGTTTGAGCAAGCGTGGTGATTAATGCTCAAACCTTCTCCATGTTATCGAGGTCTCTTTGTAAACATCTTAATGTGGTTCACAAAATACATCTACTTATCAAGTTAGTTCTTATAATTTTGGAAAAAGTTGCAGTGACCAACAGACCGACAGACATTATTGGCTCGTGACTTCCCCATTATTATTTTTTGGGGAAAAATCATCAGTTTTCTTATCCCGGTGAGGCGAGAGAAAGTCTCACAGACTTAATCAAAAATTACCCCGTCCCTTCGGGGGAGGGTGTGATACATTATTGCGCTTAGTCTGAAAATTTGGTCTAACAGGACTACTGCCTCGACCCTTTCTATGTATATATTGGATATAGCCCAGACCACATCCAAAAGTTATCTCGCGGTCGTACTTTAATTTCTCTTAGTCACTATCAAGACTCGGCTGGCAAATGCGCTTAGGTATCAGTTACCTTCTGGAGGTTAACTGCCCGAGAACATATCCGCTGCTGTCAGTTCGAAGGACCTAAATAATTCTAATTATTCACAAACAATGTAAATATGCACATTTATAGGTATATACCTACATTTTACATTTCTATAACATTTATAAATGCCCTTGACATGTTGCGGTTATCGAATCGACAATTATTGCCCACAATATACTTTACACTTTTGTATTATTGATAAATACATTTGAGATAGTTAGGTAGGTACCTATTTAATTTATGACTCCTTACACATTATCTTTTGTTTAAAGGTGAACAACCTCGGCGAGTCCAGTGAGAACAATGTCGAGCAAAGGTTTCTAGGTTTGTAAGAACAAATTGTGTTGGCCCGGGGGTTAAGCCCGCTTCTCCTGCATGAGGGTGTTCGGGTTCGAAGGGTTCGAAACTGGCAAGTGCCAATGTGACTTTTACGAGTTATATGTACTTTTACAAACGGTGAAGGGAAACATCGTGACGAAACCTCAATTTGTTGTTGATAAATGGGTCGACTCGACCGGATTGATACCACGGCCTCACAGAAAACTGGCGTAAAACAACCAAAAGCGTCGTATTTAGCCATAAGAGTGAGGTTACCGGAGGCCAATCAACCCTTTCCCTCCCCCAATCGCAAAATCCCCAAATCGAGATCGACTAAACAGAATTAATTAAAACACTGCTTGCATTAATATGTTTAACCGCCTAATATTTTTGCCTTGGCAAGTGCCAGTGCAGATCATTGCTGTGAATTTTCTGTGAAATAAAGCAATTTCTTTGATACTTTATAATAATAATAATAGAGTGACTGCCATAATATCATTACCACCTTGTGACATTCACGGATATCATGATGAACTACCATATTCTGTTTCTGCGTGACAAAACAAAATCTAGGTACAGAATAAAAGAATTTTTGTGTGCTTCAAAAAAGGAAATTAACAGTAAAAAGCTTCTATTCAAAAGCAATCAACATGTTTATGTCGATGCCTCAACTCTCTCTCTCTAGGAGAGAAGCAATTTGATAATGTGGACCCGTCAAAAACATCGTTACACAATCTGTAAGAAAGACCCTCTCTTAAAGTGAGGAATCAAAACAGCTTTTAAAGGATTGTTGTACGGTAACGTGGCTTACTACTGCAGATAAACAAGACAAGTTTTAACAACAGGTTTTAATCTGTTAGCTCTTAGGCGGCATAAATAGTTTTCTTTAAGATTAGGTACTCAGGGTCGTAGGGACGTGGTGGCCCGGAGGATAAGGAGCCCGCTTCTCAAGCAGGAGGGTGTGGGTTCAAAACATGGCAAGTACCAATGTGACTTTTTCCGAGTTATATATACTTTCTATGATTATTTGACACCACTGACATACGGTGAAGATAAACATCGTGAGGAAACCTGGACTTATAATTTCTTATTATAAGTTTGAAATCGCCAACCCGCATTGAGCAAGCGCAGTGATTAATGCTCCACCTTATCCGTATGAGAAGATGCCTTTGCTCAGCAGTGGGCACTTATAGGCTGATGATTATGAGGTACTCATGTGACGCCAGGTACGATTACTGCTTAGCGCCCTAGGCTTTGAACTTAGATAACTGATTTTTATTATGTTGGCTGCATCCTTGTTCTCCTAGTGGTATAAAATTAGAATAAATGTCTTTACTTAAAGCTATCCTTACTTAGGACTGATTTATGTAGACTCTAATTTATCACAAGTTGAGTTTGTTCACAAGCTGCATCTTATGCAATCATTATTTATTATTTCGTCATAATTTAAATGTGATTTTTCGTATTTTTGTTTATCAATTAATAGGCTAAATTTTACATTAATAGGTTAAGTAACTATGTACAGTTTTGATATTTTGTATGAGATCGGATTTTATATTATTGGTAAGAAACAGATCACACCCAATCGTAAATAGTGTACCCGTAATAGCATAACAGAGGGTTTAAAAACACGTTGCTGGCCCCTAGTGGGTTTTAAAATTGGAAATGAAGGAAAGATTGTGTCTGCAGTAACCACACACACACACACACACTCATTACTTATCACTTTTGTAAAACCAGTTCATACAAAATTTATCCAGTATAAAAATTAATTTCAAATATATCTAACATTATTACATAGTTAGTATAAAACAAAGTCGCTTCCTGTGTCCTTGCCAATATATACTCTATGGTCCCTGTATATGTATACAGGGACATGTATGCTTAAATCTTTTAAATTACGCAACGGATTTTGATTCGGTTTTTCAATAGATAGAGTGATTGAAGAAGAATGTTTACCTATACCTATGTTATTAGTATATAATAACATCCATTAAATAGTAGGGAATTAATTTAGTATCAAAATTGCACCCGTCGTCAAAGCCGAGGTGGGTCGCTAGTTTGTTTAAAAAATGTGTGTTTGTTTAAAATATACAAAACAATAATTACCTCTATATAAGTATTTATGATTGTTGGGCGACTTAATTAATTGAAAACTGATCGAGAAAAGCTCTATTACGAGTAGTTTCAAGTGAAAACGGGTCTCTTTTCTTCTTCACGAGCATTGTGCCCGCTACACAAGTTCATTTGAGAAGGTTATTAAAAAAGAGGTTTGTTTCTATTTACATACGTAATTGTAACTTATTGTAAAGTCTTAATAACAAAATTATCTTGGTTTCTTGTGAAGTCGTAACAAGGGCGTTGAACTTGATTGTTCAAATCGTTTTTGCAATTCACGTGGCTCTTAGGGTAAACTGCTGCAGCACGTGCGCTTGTTAGCATTAAGTATTATTTAAACATTGATTGGGTCACGTGAATTTATATGCAGTAAACAGAAAAATGACCTCTATTTAGACGCTTATTTTCGTAAGATTATGAAAATGTTAAGTACTTGCACTGTCAATCCACTTTAATCGATGCAACTGTTGGCGATCTAACGACGACGACTCCAAAATCTTTAGAGATCTTTTAACATTGTTGAGAACCTTTTTTGGGGAAACAAAATCATGAAATGACTTTTCTTGCCTATGGCGAAAGGGGTATCAGACTCTTACTGTTCTTCTTTCTTCTTTCTCCTGCTCCAGGCTGATGCCGCGATACCTTAATGCGCTTAACCCGCCACCCTGGTTAAGCATTTCCCATGTTGGGCCCATCTGTGGTGGTCTATTGGCTCTTTTAGGCCCGGGCCTGTCTGGTTCTGGTCGGACGGCGAGTTACCCTTACTTGTCGACCGCAGACCTGCGCTAACGGTGGCCGGAGATCGTCGCTCGATCCCCGAGGCCCGGAGTGTCGCCTGCTACGGCGGCTGTTAGGATATTTTCCTCACGCGCTCCGCCTCCTCCTTTGCGAGTATCACCGCTTCGCAAAAAGAAGAGACGGATTCCCAGTTCCTGTCGCTCCGCACCACGGCCTCAACTAACGATAAAACTGAGAGATCGCCTTTGTTGAAAACCTGAAAAATCCATGATAATACTGTGACAACAACTCTTCGATTTATAATATACACAGCACTACTTAACTTAAGTGTATTTAGTTCAGCCGGGGTTGTAGGACTTGTAGTCTTGTCTTGTCTTTCTTGAGTAAGAAACTTCTGACACTCTCGCCTCACCCGGAGAGTGGGAGAAGTCATTTGATGATAGTTCCCTCTTATAAAAGTGTTACTTGCTATTTTTTGTATAACAATGCATGTTGTTTAAACTTTAATAAAAAAACTATTCTAAACCATCAGATTGGCAAATGCAAAACGAGCACGATCAATTTCATAATTATAATAAAGTTCATCCCGCAGACTTATACGCATAAATGCTATCATTAAATCAACGCAAGCAATTCCTATTAATTATAATTTATTTATTAATTAAGCACATAACGTGATAGTGCCACGCGTCCTATTAAGCGATTGTATGCCACAATACGATAGTGACCGCTTTATACCAAATTGAACGAGTTTAATCCCGACTGGTATTGATTAACTAACTCGCTATTCTGCTCTAAATAGTGTTGCGGTTAAACCTTGATGAAAATATTTATTTTTTGTATTACAACACTGATTTTTGTAGTCGGTGGTGTGGCCTTGTTCAAACGTTGTTGTAACGTTACGTTGTTAAAAATGAGATTGTATTATCAGATCTAGTATTTTGTTTAGACGATAATGTAATGAGAATATTTTCTAAATAAAATAACGTTATCCTCATCATTGTAAGTGATAGTTTAATTTGAATATTATTTTTGTTTGTCAACTTTATTTTGCACGTTTTTGATTTAGTTTTTCATTTTCTTTTCTACCGAAAAGTGTTTTTTTAATCAAAATAACATCAATTGTATTTTCTCCCATCCTGGGTAGTAAGTATGGTATGGTACGGTTGTAAGTGGCTATAATTAAGAACCCAAATAATAACAACAATAAATTTTTTACATAATATATTGATAGTACGCTGAGAGCACGGCAGAAAGTTTCCAGAGGCATCAACATTTTTATAGAACACCTTCCGCCCCGTGTGGACGAATTGGGAGTTTCACTCTCATTGACTTAAAACCACCCCGTGCCTTCTCCTACTCCAACTCCGGCTGTCTCCTTCAAATAGTCCGTATAAATTCACCTACCATTTTTAATACTCAACATTATACGCTAGTGCGGGAAATTGCTCGACAGAAGTTCTAAAGAAATCAAATTTTCTCTAATACATATACACTACATAACCGATACTTTGATAATTAGCCGTCATTAATGTCGTGGTGGCCCATGGGTTAGGGCGCCCGCTTCTCATGCATGAGGATGTGGGTTGGAAACCTGGCAAGCTGGCAAGTATCAATGTAATATAAGTATACTTTCTATGATGTTTATTTAGACCCTGATAAACGGTGAAGGGAAAACATCGTGAGAAAACCTGGACTTATGATTTCTAATTATAAGTTTTAAATCGCCAATCCACCTTGACCGAGCGTGGTGGTTAATGCTCAAATCTTCTCCGTGTAAGAAAAGGTCTTTGCTCAGCGGTGGGCACTTATAGGCTGATGATATGATCATTAGCAATAGATACTGGGCTTGTTTATAATAGCTCATTATCTCATCTTAATGGTCCAATATCATGCACCTACCGGTATTTGTGTTCGTGATACAAACGTCAATCATTATCGTAAGGTTATAATTAGATGTATGAAGGACTGGATTATCTTACTTAGGGTCTGTACACGAGCTGGGGAAGTGATAAGGTTAAAGAAAATAGATAGATAAACTATATTACATTTTTTACTATCTTTGTATCATCTCTATTTCTGGAATAAATTATTAAGTGCTAACCCTAATGTCTTGTGCCATAGGTTTGACAACTCTAAGAAGAAGTCGCACCCACACATCACTCATCATCACCCTTTTAAGTGCCCACTGCTGAGCAACACACTTCTCACGCGGAGAAGGCTTAAGCATTAGATAATCACCATGCTTGTTCTATATTGATTATTATATTTCCTTACGATGTTTTTCTTCACCGTTTGACAGTAGTGTCTTAATATACTTAGAAAGTACACGTAACTAAGAAAAAGTAACAATGGTACCAGCCAGGTTTCTAACCCGCGGACCGCCTTATGCATGAGCGAGGCCCTTAAACTTTGGGCGACTACAACCTGTCTCCACGCGCTTTAATTATTGTTTTATAAATATTATTACCAAAACAAAATTGCCTACTCCTCAGTGACGCGTTCTGAATTTAGCATCATCACTTGCACTCACATGCACGAAGCGGCTGGAACCGCTGTGGAGTAAAGTTATTTGCCAAAGTCAGTGATCCCCAAAGGGTATAACCAAAGTGTCCAACGTAGGTCGCATTACCGCCTACTACCACGCGAGATAGAAGCCAAATGCCTGACCACAATAAAATAAATAAACCCGTTGCGTGGTCCAAAACAATTCCAGCCCGCCTAATTTTACTGTCTTGATTGACTGGTCGATCACCATTCTAAGTTCTAGCTTAAAACCATTAATGAAAACTTTGTATAATAAGAATACCTATGTTATTGTTCAAAGTGAAAATCTAACAATGAACTCTCATTGTCACGTCGCTCGACAGAATAATTACCACTTACATATCCCTTATGTAATAAAAATACATAAGCAAGTGGTGGAACCCCTAGATTAGCCGCAGCATATACCTACGTAAGAAAAGCAAAGATAACAAATAATACGGTTATCATATTTATCGGTTCATTTGCTAATGTTCACGAGAGCGCTTGGTGGATGGCGATTTTCTTGATTACCAGGAAATTATGATAGCCGGGTGAAGTTCACCTATATAAGACAAAACAAAAATAAACGTCATTCATTTCAATTTGTTTGTTTTTTTTTAATTTTTCTTCCATATGTGTATTGAGACTAACCGATGGTATAAAAATCGTATGAATTGTCATTTAAATTTCTTTAGCCAAAGCCTGTAGAAGACTTCTGTCTTGTACAACTGTTTTGATTATCTGATTGATCCGCCAATCACCTGCAATAGTATAAGACTCATAGATCGTACTTGAAGTCAGCGCCAAACTGTCTGCTTGCAATCTCTTTATACATTACCTTGCGCACAATATCTCACACTGTTTCTTGGTGAATTGTTCTAAATGTGAGAACTACTTCATTAGAAGCATGAGTAGTAAGGTGATTTTCGTATATGCAATCCCAAATTGAAGTTCGGATAGTACCAGGTTAAGTAGTATCGTGTTGTTACCGACCATAATCTATATTTATGCCAAATTGCATGCAGTTACGTTCAATACTTACAAACTTTCGATTTCATAATTTTTTTACAAGTGCGTGTATCCCCAGGACTACACTCGAGCTTCACAAAAACATGTTTCTTATTTCTAAACAACATACCCAATAATTAACAATTATTAAAAAAACAATGATGGGATAGTAGTAACTTTCGTATCTTGTTAAAAACCAAAACAAGACATAGGTACCTAAAGGTAAATATATAAACAAAATCTAAACCTTAATTCGCCTTCGTAATTACCAATCACTACACCAAGAATAAAACAAAAGAATACCTATAATCAATCAACAGTTTCCTAGATTTTTAAATGAACATCTCATTAAAAATTCCTGGCTAGATAACGACCGACCGCTAAGGAACGAACCTATGTTTTAATTCTTTACATAATAGATTAACAAAGAAACTACTTAAACACAGCAACGTACGTACGTATAAATTAATAGACACTTTATATGCAAGAAAAATGTTGCCGTATTTACAAGTAATTATTTATGCTAAACCTAGAATCTACTTGGATTAATCTTCAATGTACTGTGTAGGACGGTGATGCAAAAATACATTGATACCTAGTCGCTAGACTGAATAAAATCAATACTTGTATTGACCACGTGCTTGTGTACCTACACCTAAATGCACGTTGGATATGCGTGATCGATACCATTACCATACCGACATTGTGTTTCACGTAATACTTTATTCCGCAAAAGGGATTAATAAGGTTACTCAGTATTTATAAATGTTTTTAATAGCTATGCCATAACCCTGTTGGGTAATTTAAAAATGATTATAACTCCTTCAGTTGACCTAATATACAGTAATAATTGCATAATATAAAAAATCAAGTCGCTCTCTCTGTCCCTATTTTCGTATGTATGCTTAAACTTTTAAAACTACGCAACGGATATTGATGCCGGTTTTATTGATAGATTTCTTCTATTCGATTGAAGAGGAAGGTTTATATGTATAATAGATAGCATCCATAAAATCTCAATACTCTACAAACGAAACTTAATCAAAACTTTTATCTTAATTGTATTTTTTTTTAATATTGCGCATGCAATGTGTATTCTCTGTTGGAGATTCTAATAAAATAAATAAATAAGAAAACCAAGTAGATTTTGTTTTAATTCACGTCTTTATTTTTGTCCCCATACCGCATGTCCGATAAATATTTTCGATCAATTCTTCAATTTGGGAAAAACACATTAATAAATTGTATAATGCGTTTGCAAAAATATTATTTATGTACCTACTTAATTTACTAACCTATTGATTAAATAAATAAGATTGTAATTCACACATCACACAACTACTACGTCTAAAATATTTACAGTTTCACAGAAATAATTTGCTGACGTTCTATTATTTGTTATTAACTTTGACCGAGTTTATAG